GTGCTATGACTGCCAATGTCACGGTCACGCTGACAGCTGTGACGCCGTGACGGGACAATGTATTGACTGTCAGCATAATACAGTSGGATGGAATTGTGACCAGTGCGCTGTAGGATATTATGGTATCGCTACAAGAGGTGAGTACTGATAATTAAAAGGTTACTTCGTTCATCCAGCTGATCTGAAATGTGACGTAATGATAACGTATTTGCAAAACTGAGTTGTCCTTGGGCCCACAGGACTGACCAGCGGTCTACCAAATTTAATTAAATGCATAAATATTTGCGTGAGCAGTGGACGGACGCGTCGCGAGCCGGCGAAAATATAAAACATTTGTAAGTGTTGAAAATAAAAATCTATTCATATTATCTGTGTTTCTGTATTGACTGTATCGAGGTCACTGACTTTTTTGTATTCAAAATGTTCAATGGCCTTTTAAGATCAAGATACACAAAAGCCAGCGAAGAGATTTCAGAAAATCACCCCAAGGACAAAGAAGAATAAACAATAAACTTTTCCCCGTCGAGCACGTAAGTCCGCCATTTTGAAAGCCAGGCTACCAAGGGTGACAATTCAGTTTTGCAAATTTTCTCGATTCTGATTGGCTAACATTTTTTCTCAGATCAGCTGGATACGACGACATAAGCATACGCATAACGATAAGCATTAGCATAGACATATTTTCACGCGAAACATGTACCAGCTTATAAGCATGAAACATAAGTGTGTTCTTTCGCGGCATAAGCGTAAGCGCAAGGAAACGATCATGTGCGTTTCTTATGGATATGCTTAWGCATATAATATTATGCATAAAATTCATTAACAATTCATAAGGTCAACGCAAATCGTTTCCGTGACCGAATCGATATATTTGCGTTTCCTACGACCTTACAGTCCTCGAAGACTWGTATTTTATTCTATTTTATCCTGAAGAGTAACTTCAATGCAAAAAGATAACAGGCGCATTGAAAGGATCTCACGCGGCGTTATTAGTGTCACGCTGCTCTATTAGTATCACGCAACACTATCAATGTCACGCTGCGCTGTCAAGAAAAGACTGACTTTTTCGAGACTCTTTTTGTATTTCTAGGTTCTCCCAATGACTGCAGTCGATGCCAATGTCCTGGAGGAAGCAGTGGTAATAAGTTCAGTAAAACATGTGTCATCGATACCAGTACCACTCCGCCATCTGTACTGTGTAACGCTTGTGAGGTTAGTCACGCATTCATTATCGTTTGCCCATCATCAGTAACGCATTATTGAACACCTTTTGATGGAGTGGCACGGAGCCTCATCATTGTTAACTATAATGACTCAAAATCATCTCTCGTTATTATGAACACGTCGTTGCCTGTAATAAGTACACAAAAAGCGTACTGTTCGCTGTACATGGAGGTACATTTTTAGTGAAGTACAATTAAATGACCGTAATAATAGGGTTTTCGTCAGACCGGGGTGTTCATACCCCGATATTACGAACACCGGCCATTCTTAACCCTTTCACCGCCATTGTCGACATTTGTCGACGTCGACGTATGCCTCTCTTTAAAAAAATATTATTCTATTAATTGCATAGCAAATGAACTAATTATGTTTTGGTTGGGTTGTCCGTGAAATTATACAGCTGCTAATTCATAAAGTAAGCACCATAGGGTTTCTTTGTGGTGAATGTGGTCCCTTAATTGAGGGCGAAATCTGGTTGCACGCTTTTCGACGTTAGACAAGAACACTAGAAAAAGGCTAAATATATTTTCAATTTTACTGCAAAAAATCCCTCAATCATGTCAAAATACAACATTTGAAAGAAAGTTCAGCCCTTCTACTTTGCATTGATGTGTCTTTTGTAACCAGTTTCATTGAACAAGCCGAGAAAGAGCTCTTTCTTTAGGGTCCATTCCATGAGACAAGTGTTTCCTTGAACTTCGCTTGCAAAGAATTCTGGGTAACGGTGAACTTTTTGGACAGAAAGTACCCCACACCTTCCATTTAAAAATTTTTAAAAGTATTTTTTTAAAAGTGTCGAGTCATTCGCTCCTACCAGGAAAATTTCAAGTAGATTCCTCTTTTTAGAAGCCAAAACATGCAAAAATATCATCCAACATTTTTGATATTATACCTTGCAGAAAGGTTACGCAGGAAAGCAGTGTGACAAGTGTGCTGATGGGTATTATGGAAGCCCCCTTGTTCCAGGGGGGAGCTGCAAACCATGTGTCTGTAACAACAACATCGATCCCTTCGCAAAAGGCAACTGCGATCACGTGACGGGTGAATGTAAAAAATGTTTGGCGAATACCGCTGGCTTTAGCTGTGAACGATGTGCGCCTGGTTACCATGGCAGCGCCTTGGCTAGAAACTGCAC